CGGGGACACCGGAGAACGGGGACACCGGGGGATGGGGACACCGGAGAACGGGGACACCGGAGGAGCGGGGACACTGGAGGATGGGGACACCGGAGAACGGGGACACCGGAGGAGTGGGGACACCGGAGAACGGGGACACCGGAGGAGCGGGGACACCGGAGGATGGGGACACCGGAGAACGGGGACACCGGAGGAGCGGGGACACCGGGGGACGGGGACACCGGAGAACGGGGACACCGGGGGACCGGACACCGGAGGAGCGGGGACACCGGGGGACGGGGACACGGGAGGAGCGGGGACACGGGAGGACGGGGACACCGGAGGAGCGGGACACCGGAGAACGGGGACACCGGAGAACGGGGACACCGGGGGAACGGGGACACCGGAGGAACGGGGACACCGGAGGAGAGGGGACACCGGAGGAGCGGGGACACCGGAGGAGCGGGGAATCCGGAGAACGGGGACACCGGAGGAGCGGGGACACCGGAGAACGGGGACACCGGAGGAACGCCGTTCGGAGCCGCTCAGCCCCCAGCCCAGCCCAGCCCAGCCCGGCCCGGCTCGGCCCCGCCGCCCCCGGCTCACCCATTCCGTGCCAAATCACCAGCGGTACCGCGGCGGAGAGCGCGGGGTTCAGGCACAGCCCGAGCAGCGCCAGCACCGGCACCGCCGCYCTGAGCGCCGCCATCTTGGCCGGTCACATGACGCGAGGGCGGGGTTAAATCGATGATGGGCGTGGCCTCACGCTGGGGGCGTGGCCTCAGGCTGGGGGCGTGGCCCGGGATTCCTGCGCGGCCGCGGGTTCGAGTCCCGCCCTCCCCCGATTCCATCCAAAAATCCCAAATCCTGCCACAGCCGGGAGGTTCCTCTCCCCGCCCCGGGACACGGGGCCAGGAAATCCTCAACCCCCTTGTTGCCTTAACGGCCAGTTTTTAATAATGACACAGACGCGGTTAAGGGGATAAAAAGGGTTTTACCTCGGGATTTGGGATCCCACATGCACAAATTGATGACAGAATGCACACCCGTGTACAGCACGGATACAAGTTTTATAGAATTCAGGAATTAGCAAATCTATCTAGGATTCCCCAATAAGGAAGTAATAAATGCAGTAATGTCTCCCTATTCTAATTAATCCCCCCCAGATGAGGCCAGAGCCCAGTTTACCCAAGATGTTCCAGAGAGAAGGCTTTACCCAAGGCTGGAGCTCGGGTTTAAGCTTCACCCAAGGCTGGAGTCGGGTTTAAGACAGCGCAGGGCACACTGATCCGTTCCTGAGGATGTTTGTTTTCTCTGCCCAGCAGAACTCCTGAACTAAGCTGGAATATCAGGCTCCAGGAATTACAACCATGTGGACTAAGGGGTACAGGCGGATGCATAGAGGGTACAGAAAGCGTAAAAAGAAAAGCAAAAATCATCAGGCATCACCGTGCCTGCGTGCTGCCCACGTGGCACTGCATCCTCTCTGCCCCACCATGGGCTGGGGCACATCCTGGCTGAGCTGCTGCCTGATTTCCTCCTGCAGAGGCAAATGTTTGGCACAGCAGCCGTTCAGGAAGCTCTTCTCAGCACAAACCTTCCTYTGCCACCCAGCCTTTCCAACACACTTTTGTGGCCTGTTTTAAAACACTTCCCATTTCCTCCCGTGGGATGCTGCTCCCAGCTGCCTGTGCCTGACCTTGGCTGCAGTTCCACATCGTTGTGGTCGCTCTATTTGTGGCAAAAATCAGCGTGTCAAGGGCAGGTATCAATATCAACCCCACTGTGACATCTGTGCCCTGCCTGGCTCTGCATCATTCCTATTCCTGCTCCCACAAGGCCTCTGCAATTCCTGTTCTTTCCTTAACTTCTGGCACTGGAAGTTAAGGAGTAAAATAAAGGGAAGATCCTAAAGTTGCTCAGCATTCCAGGCACTRTTCCTGAGGTGAAAGAAGGGACAGGAAGCACCCACTCTTCTCCTTCCCTGTGACAGTTTCCTCCCTGCCTYGCTCAGAAAATCTTTGCTCTCTCTCTGTTCCCAGCTATGCAGGGATCCTGCTGGGAATCACAAATACCTTTGGCATCGTGGAAGGAATTATTGCTCCCACTGCAGCTGGRCTTCTCATCAGCCAGGTAACTTGGGGCCACAGTCCCTGGAAAAAAAAAAAAAAACCAAAAACAAATCTGCTCTCAGCAATGGATTTCTTTCTTTGCACTGAATTGATGATGACACCAAGCCCACCCCCTCTCCAAAAGAAAATGTGTTGTAGCACCTGGCAAAACAGAGCTCTGGACTATTCTGGGGACACAGGGATGACTCAGAAAGCAGGAAGAGCTCCACATGGGATCTATCTGTATTTGGAGATGGGGAGAGGGTTGAGGGAGTGTGGTGAGTGGGAAGCTCTGTGCCAGGCAGGAAAGCTTCCTGAATTCAGCACAGAAATGCCAAGGTAGGAAATGCCTCCCCARCAAGATGGGGTTTGGCAATCCTTCCCTGAGAGGGTGGGAGGCCCTGGCAGAGGGTGTTCAGAGAAGCTGAAGCTGCCCCTGGATCCCTGGAAGTGTCCAAGGCCAGGCTGGACAGGGCTGGGAGCACCCTGGGACAGTGAAAGGTGTCCCTGCCRTGGCAGAGCTGGCACTGGATGAGTTTTCAGATCCCTTCCAACACAAACCATTCCATGATTCTGTGATTCTCTCTGTCTGGAGCTGAGCAAAGCTCTCCTGCTGCTGTCACTTCACGAGCAGAGGGTGGGATGGGTTAATTCTGTGAAGTGACAGCAGTGGGGTGGTCACTGCAGGGAGATAAAGGGAAAGGTGACACCACTGAGCTCAGTTCTTGTCCCCAGGATCTCCAGAGGGGCTGGAGCAATTCCTTCCTCCTCCCTGCAGCCCTCAGCCTCTTTGGCAGTGGGGCCATGCAGGACTGGACAAAGCTGTGGAGAGAGGTTTGGGATGGGGCACAGGGGACAGGCAGCACCTTCATCCATCTCTGTCCATCTCCTGATCCCAATGAGCTCCCCTTGGCCCCTGCTCCTGCAGTGTCCTCAACCTCTGCTCATGGGAAGGAGCCTTTCAGCACAGACAGATCCCAAACAGATCCATGGATTGCTGGAAAGCTGGAARCCAGCCCAGCCTGCAGCTATTTCCAGCAAAGCTGTTCTTAGACGAAGTAAACCCATAATGAAGCAGCAATGGTACTTTTAAACCAGAGGCTTTTCACACCCTCTGCACAGAAACTCCTGACACTTTTTTTCTCTTCTTAATGAGACAAGCTGATTATTCATTTATCCTTCATCCCTACTTAGAAGCAACTGGGGCAAAAAATAATTGATGGCATTACAGAGCTCRGGCTGCCAGCCCTGAGACCGCTCTGGGAGGCAGGGGAAGGGGATAAATAGGGACAGACTTGAGCTGGGACCATCCTTACTTTGGGGATCTGAGCCTGACTTCTCTCTGATTCTTGCTCCAATGAGGAATGAACTTGGAGTCATGTTTATCCTAAGTCAAGAACTTTTTATTTCTTCTTTTTCTGGGGTTTTTTTTTTAGGTTTTTTTTTTTTTTTTTTTTTTTTTCTCTGCTAGTGAGGAGGCTCGCAAAAGAAACTGAGGGAGTGTAGCTGGGATATCTGATCTGAACTGGCCAAAGGGATATCCCAGTATAGAAACTGGGGCTGATCTGGGCTTGGGAAATGGGATCTGGCACCAGCCAGAGGGTGTTGAACAACTGCACTGTGCTGTTTTTTCCCCTCTCATTTAATTATCATYACTATTATTATTATTATTCACCATKATTATTGTATTTTATTYTGTAATTATGAGCARTAATTGATGGGGGTAACGCCGCCCTCCGCCCGCCAGGGGGCGCCGCCGCCCCGCGCTCTCCCATAACCCCCCGCGGCCGCGCCCCGCCCGCCTCTTCCCCGCCTCCATCATGGCGGTGAGTGCCGGGACCGCCACCGGGACCGCTCTCCATCCGCCGCCATCCGCGCTCGGCGGGGCTCACCGGGGCGCGGCCCGTGCGGGCGGGAGCGGGGAAAGCCGGCGGGAGAGCGGCAGGGGCGGGATGGGCGCGGAGGAGCCGGTGGGGCGCTGCGGAGGAGCGGCTGCCGTGACAGGCCGCGGCCCGTCCGGTGGCGGCGGCGTTCGAGAAAAGGCCGCGGGTTTCGGCCCCGGAGGGGAGCGGGGCGCGGTGTCCGGCTGCAGGAGCCTTTCTCCCGGTGGCGGCGGTGTTGGAGAAGGGACCGCGGCCGCGGGGTTCGGTTCCTCCGGTTGTATGAGCCTTTTTCCGAACCCTTCCTGAACCGTTCCGCGGCTGCCGGGGCGAGCTGCGRGCACTCCCGGTTATTACCCCCGGTTATTACCCCCGGTGTGGTTTTTCCGCAGCAAGACCAAGGTGAGAAGGARAACCCCATGCGGGAGCTGCGGATCCGCAAACTCTGCCTCAACATYTGCGTCGGGGAGAGCGGGGATCGGCTCACCCGCGCCGCCAAAGTGCTGGAGCAGCTCACGGGGCARACCCCCGTGTTCTCCAAAGGTGAGGGGCTGCCAAGGAGCCCTGATGGTTTTTCTTCCTTTCCTTTTCTTMCTTTCCGGTGGGTGCARTGGGAGCGCGGCCCYCGGGAAGGGGTTTGTTGGTAGATCYGGTGTCGGGAGAGCAGAATTGGGAGACTTAAAAATTTAGGGGTTGTTGGTCGTTTGTGTCATTTCAGTTCTGTCTCCAGATTCAGGCTAATATGCCGACGTCCCTAAAGAGGGAATTTGGGGTTGCTTTGGTTCTTTTTAATTCGCTTGAGTTTATTTGGGCTTGAGAAGCGCTGAATCCCCGCGGGTGGGAGTTCTCTGGCTGYGCTCTGAGTGTAACTGTTGCTGCCTACAGCGCGATACACGGTGAGATCCTTTGGGATCAGGAGAAACGAGAAAATCGCTGTTCACTGCACGGTTCGCGGGGCCAAAGCAGAGGAGATTCTGGAGAAGGGGTTGAAGGTGAGAATTTTGGGCTGGATCTTTGGTTTGTGAAAGAACAAAACTTTTCCATTCTGATTGAAGGGGTGTGTGCTCCAAAATGTTGTTCGTTGTCCAGGTACAGGTCAGATACACAGGATGAAGTGTTCACAGTGTTTATCAGGATGCTGTTTCATCCTTATTTAAGGAACTAATTGTTTTTGGGTTCTGTCTTTGCTACTGAGATTTAGGAACAAGCTGGGGGAGCAGAATTTTAGGGATTAAAAACAGTGTGAGTGAGTTTGGGGTCTGGTGACCCCAAACTGAGGCATGAGTTCTAAATCTGCTTCCAGTCAGGAGCAAAATGGTGACCAACAACCAATGTTTCAGGTGCGAGAATAYGAGTTGAGAAAAAACAACTTCTCAGACACCGGGAACTTTGGCTTTGGAATCCAGGAACACATCGATCTGGGCATTAAATACGATCCCAGCATCGGTATCTACGGCCTGGATTTCTATGTGGTGAGTATTCCCTGTTTTCTGGGCATGTGGGAAAGCTTCAGAAGGAGTCTAGAACAAGAGCTAGACTTGCTGCCAAGTGCTGGAAGATAGACTTGGATTTTGTTGACATTTCTTTTAATTTGAGATTCCCAGAGCTTCCATAAAATTTATGACAAATCTCACAAAGCCTCTTCAGAAACAAATCTTGTTGCTTTGACTGCGATTCTTGGGATAACACTGAAACAGCTGGGCTGGGTTTGGGGAATGAAAGAGCAGCAGGATATCACTGATGTGAAAATTCCAGCCTTCCCTCCTAGAAAACTTTAGTTTAGGAAAAACAAAAAAAAGCAGTGCTGTTGGCCTGATCCTACAGGTGCTGGGCAGGCCGGGCTTCAGCATCGCTGACAAGAAACGCAGGACTGGAAACATCGGGGCCAAGCACAGAATTGGGAAGGAGGAAGCCATGCGCTGGTTCCAGCAAAAGGTACAGTCCATCTTTATTTTTTGTATCCTGAGAGTTTCCTAGCAGGGATCAGCAAAATGATTCGTGGAAGGGCTGGAGCAAATCACCGGGTGGGAGGAGATCTTGATGAGTGCTTTAATTGTAGAACTGCTACTACTAAATAGAAATGTTTGAGCAYGAGAATTATTTGTGCTTTTTTGGGTAAACTGAAAGAGCAGCTCTTGGCAGGAGAGCTGGGAGGAATTATCAATTCTTGTGTAAATGGCTCCTGCAGTTTTTGGAAGAGCTACATGTTCCTGGATCATGAGTGATGAGGCAAGGTTAGGATTTGTTGGTCTGASACAGCTCCAGGCTCAGCTGCCACACTTGGAGCATGGAGAGACCCCCAAATACAACAAATCTTGGGTTTATCTGTCCATATAATGAATAATTTGATAATGCATGGGAGCTGCTGAAAGCTGGGTTGGAAATCTCAGAATTTGGGACTGCTGGTAGTTTTTCAGAGGTGAGAAGTGTGGACAGTCTGGGGGCTCTTTACTCTTCCTGGACCTATATGGGTCATACCCTGTGCAGGGARGGCTCCAGCCTGATCTTGCTGAATTCCTTTTCCCCCATCCTTTCTGATTCTGCTTAAAGTGGCACAGTTCCCCTCAGGGCCCAGATTTTGGGACTGGTCAGACCAGCCTGTGAAGGGTGTGGCTGCTTGTTTCACTGAGCTTAATGCTTATCCAAGCACAGTCCCYTTGAACATTCCAGCACAGCACAATGCATTTGGCTGCAGGAAAACTGGTCTGCCATGTCAGTGGCTTGGATTGACCGTGGTGACTCAAATTTTCTGCACAGCAGCACTGCACCTTTACCTGATGGTGATTTCTCACTTGGTTCTTTCTTTTTTTCCTTCACAGTATGATGGCATCATTCTTCCTGGTAAATGAGCAGTTCCTGGTACCAGAGAAGTAAATAAATTTTTTAACCCCTAACTTGTGTTGTGAGTTTTGTAGGGGAGCTGATACGAGCGAGGGTCCTTCTCTTGGTTTTATCCTTTTTTTTTTTTTTTTCAATCCATTCTGCAATCCAGTGCTGCAGGCTGGGGAGAAAAGCTCTTCTGTCCTTCTTCTGTGTCTGCCCCACTTCAGCATTCCCTGCTTAAGCTGCAAGATGGAGGCAGCTCAGGACAGTTTTCCTAGCTCCCAGAGTCTGCACATCAGCGTGCAGATAACTTTTCCTCTCCTACCTGTGACTGCTGGGGCTGCTGCTGCTCTAACCCTGAGGCAATGGATACATCCTTCTTATCCACCTTGACCTTCACAGGGGTTTTCTTTTTGGGGGCCATCTCAGCAGAATTGGAGCARGACCTGGTGAGAAAGGAGAGGTGAGCAGCCTTGTAATGGGAGTTCAGATGTCTCCTTGTGCTCCTTGAGATGTTCAGGGAAGGAAAGGCAAAACTCCCACTGAATCAAAAACAATCTGGGTCAAGCCTAGAGAAGGATGGGAGTTGCCCCCCAAGCCCTGCACACCTCTGTGAGAAAATGCCATGACTGCAGGAGGGGATTCTCAACTCTACCAGCACCTTGCTGTGTTATGAAGAAATGAGAATTTTGGGTGGTTGCCTTTGAATGTTCCCAAATCCCATTAGAACCTCCAGACCGAAACTCAGCAGTGACCTCATCTCCTCTGAGAGAGCTTCGAGCAGCCAATAGATGAGGGAACCAATCTGGCCAGAAATAGCTGTTACTGCTCTGTCTCACATGTCTGGGACTGTTTATTGCATTTGGCCACAAAGATCGGGTTTCTTGGAACTGAGTAATCGGCTTGTATTTACCAGGAGACAAGGGGCCATTAGGAAATTCCAGCAAAAACATGGAGAAAAGTTTGGGAAAAGTTTAGCTCAAGTCCCTATCAGGAAAGAGGATTCAAAGGTGGAGTGGGAAAGTGGCAGTGCCAGCACAGCCAAGCTCAGGGTGCCAGGGAGAGCAGAGGGAGCAGGGATGACTCAGAAGCCACAGGGATTCAGGAGCAAAGTCCCAGGAACTTGAGCCATCCCTGGAATTGTGGTGTTTCACGGGATACCCCAATTTACACCACTGAGAGCTCATTTATCACTGTGTCACATCCTGGAGTGGGTCCTGAAATGGGACCCAAATGCTGCTCTCTCCCTGTGTTTGGATGTGAAATGGTTTCTGACACCAGCTCAGGACTGGGAGAAGGGATTTGTCCTTTYAGAGYAGCAACACTTTGATRTTTCCAAMCACACAYTTTATCCACTCCTCAGAAAAATTTGYRRTTTCAKCTTTTCAGCTGGATTCGAAATGAAGACACAGGTTTAACATTTTAAACATTTCCCAGGAAAATAAAATCTTTTTCCAGGTCTTCTCCCCAGATGCTTCAGACCTGCCTCTCGCTGAGATACAGCACTGCCAGAGCATCTTTGCTGCCAAGAAGGAAGTTGTTCTGGGATAAACCAGATCTTCCAACTGCAGAACATTCACACAAATACAGGGGAAATTTGGGATTGATGTCCCTGGGCACCTTTGACAGGCTCCAAACTTGAAACACATTTGAGTTATTCCAAAGTCTGGCTGTGGGAGGGCACAGCAATCTTTATTACCTGCACTTATCTTAAAATGGGACATTATTGTTGCTCCTGATTGAAACGCCACTGCAGTGACCTGAAAGGGGTATTTTTTATAAGAYTAATTCTGGCTGCTGGGTTAATCCAGGGAGCTGGAGTGATTTGAAGAGATTTCAAAGGGCCCAGGCTGGGCTCCTCGGTGCAAGACAAGGAGTTGATGGAGAGGGTTCGGTAGAAGGGACAAAGATGATTTGGGCTTTGGAGCATCGCCCTGATGAGCAGAGACTGCGGGAGCTGGGCCTGGTCAGTCTGGAGAAGGGAAGACTGAAAGGAGATCCCATTAATCCATAAAATATCCCCAAGGGGTGCCAGAGGATGGTGCCAGGCTCTGTTCAGTGACAAGATGAGGAGCAATGGCCATAAACTGAATAATAAGGACTTCCAGAACTTCTTTCCACGAGGGTGGCACAGGTCTGGAACAGCTCTCCAGGGAGGGCCTGGAGCCTCCAACTCTGGAGACACCYCAAACCCACCTGGACGCGTTCCTGTRTCACCTGCTCCAGGTGACCCTGGATGATCTCCAGAGTTCCCTTGCAGCCCCAGCTCCTCTGGGATTCTGTAACAGCCCATCCCGACGGCGGAGCTGTCACCCCACTCCCTGAGGGACAGCCATACCCCCGCGCTCCCCTCAGCACTGCCCTCACTCAAGATGGCGCCGCGCGGCGTCGCTGCCAGTCCCCAACATGGCGCCCGCCGAACTCTGCCCGGCCCCGCCATGGCCGAGGCCGCGCTGCGCCGCTTCCGCTTCCTGCCCGCAGCCAAGATGGCGGCGGCGGCGGGGCAGCGCCGTGGGCCCGGCTGCCGCTGAAGCCGCTTCCGCCGCCGCGGGCTCTCCAGCAGTAAAAATGGCGGAGTCGGTGCTGGAAGTTGTGGGCCGGCTCCAGGCGCGGCTGGCGGGCAGCGCCGAGCCCAAGAAGGTGATGGGGGCTGTCTGAGCCCGCCGGGGCCTCAGCGGTGGGGATGAGGGTCGGGAGTGCGCGGGGCGCGGGGCAGGGCCTCTCTCCGCCGGTAATTCCCCTACGTGGAGCTCCGTGCCCGGCCGGGGCCGCGCTCCGTGGGTGGGACGTGCGGGCAGCCCGGGGTTTGTCCCCGGTGGAAGTCCCGTTCTGCCTCCAGCCCGGTGCGGGCTCGCAGGCCCCGGGGGTCCCGTTTGGGCGGGGGGCGGGGGTCCTTTGCGGGGTCTCGCCGTGGCAGTGACGGGCGGGTGACACTTTTGGGGTCCCCCGTGGCAGGCTTGGGGTGGTGGCAGAGCTCCCGTGAGCGGTACCCCGTGACAGTGGCGAGCAGAGGTCCCTTTCGAGGTGCCCGCGTGGCACGGCTGGGCAGAGGTCTATTTTGGGGCAGAGGTCTATTTTGGGGTCCCCCCGTGAGAGCGGCGGGCTGGGGTCACTTTTGGGGTCCGGCGCCCGGCTGGGTGGGCAGAAAGGCAGCGGAGAACTGTCCGGAAGAGTCTTGCCCTGGTGACGTGTTGGGTGGCAGAGCCGTGGTGCCATGTGAGCCCACGCAGGGAGGCACAGCCGGGGGGACACGAGTCCCTGGCTCCTGTCGCCTGTCCCCGCTGGCCTTGGGGGACTTTCTTGGCTCTTTCCACGAGGGAATGTGCCCGCTGCCAAAATGTGCTGCCCGCAGCAGCTGTTGCGGTGTGGTTGCTGCGCTGCCCCGACCTGCCTTGGGCTCGGTCTGTTCGGCGACATTCTGCTGGTGACGGTGACTGTCCTGCTGGGCAGGAGCTGGTTTTTCTAGTGAAATCTGGAATCGGGGTTGAACWCGGGCGTGCTGTTACCCTGTTCTCCAGTTTTAAAGGGGGAGCATCTGTTGTGAGTTGCTCACAGGTGTTAGTTCGTGTTTTATGTAATTCAGGTGAAAGAGGAGGCAGGCAGGGCTGTGCAGCTGCTCTGTTCTCGGCTCTGTTTCACTGAGACAAACATCTGCAGAACTCGCTGCCCAGGATCTCCCACCACCCAGGAAAAGGAGTGAATGCTCCAGTGCTGACCCTTTGAAATGAGAGCCCCTGGAGGAGCTCCAGCCCGGCTGGGGGTGATGTGATGGGATCTGRTTACTCTTCTCACCCTCTCAGCCAGGACCAGAGCGGGGTTTAACTGCCAGAACCCCAAATGGAGCTGAGAGATTGCCAAGGAATCAGTTCCAGGGGGTCTGAGCTCTTCAAATATTGTCTCAGCACTCAGAGAACTAACGCTCCTGTTCCCTGACCTTTGTGTGAGCTCGTGTGTTTCTGGAGCACTGCAAAGTCTYGGGGCAGTGTTTGCACAGCCCGACTCCTTCTCCAGTGACCTCGTGGTGCGAAGTCGTTTCTTGCTCTGTTGATCCAGTGCGGTTTTGCAAGGGCAGGCAGAGGAGGTAGAGCAGAGTAATGACTTGAAAACCTCTTTTCTTCCCCAGCAGAAAGGCCCTGTGACCTATATTCTTTATGTCTGATACTTTCCCAACCATATCCTCTGAAACATTAGTGGTTTTAAGCCTGAATTTAGTTGCYGTTGCATTTTCTTGATAGATTTGTGAGGACTTTCCTGTGCTAAAAGTTTACCCCATCAGTAGGACAAATCCACGGCATCTCTGGGTGCTGCCTACCCTTACACCATTTCCAGTCCTCGCTTTCCTTGCCTGGTTCTTTGAAAATATTTTATCAGGAATGTAAAAGAATAATATTTGCTCAGTATGGTGTGTAACTCACTGCCTTGCTGAAGGGTGTAGAGTGTTACTATTACCGGTTTCGGGTGAAAATTGGGCTGCTGGCACAGAACAGCACAAATTGTGAAATTTTGGACAGTGCTGTAATGGTTTGGAAAGAGTCCTTTTTTTCCAGCAGAGGAGGTGCAAGCTCTGCTTTAGGGAAGAAAGAGGAGAAGGAAAACATGAGCATCTTCACAGCCGGGCTGTGCTGCAGCAATTTGATATTGGTGTGTGTTTTTAGTGTCGTAACGGTCTGGCTGCYTCCTTTCAGAAAAAGAAAACAATCCACCCATATTCAACTTGGGGAAGGTTTTATGGGTTGTGTCTTGTGGCYGACTGACTGAAATCCTGCCCTGTGCTGGGGTGTTTTAGAAGAGCTTTGTCGTGTGTGTCTCACAAAACATGAGCCTGGTGTTTTCTGTCTCCYGCCTGGTCACCTTTTCCTCGCAGGATTTGTGTGATCCTGGTTATTTCCAAGATGAGCTGCCAGATTTAGACTCCCAGGATTGTTTCAGGTTGGAAAAGACTTCCAGGATCGAGTCCAACCTTTGACTTGAAACCCTTCCCTATCAACTGRGTTGTTTCTTGAGCATCTYCAGGGATGGGAACTCCATCACCTCCTTGAGCATCCCCTTCCAATGCCTGAAGAAATCTCCTSTGAAGAAATTCCTCCTGTTRTCCAAAATTTTTCCTGATGTCCCTTTAAGCCTCAATGGGAAGCAGTGGGATGAACTCCATCAGTTTGTTTCTATAGGAAATACAGATTAGAACGAGTTTTTAAGCCTCACTGCACCAAAGTTGTCTCACTTTGTGCATCTCATGCACAAGGACTTGTGTTCCGTGGAGGAACCGACTGCAGTGGCTGTGGAATAACTCAGCTCCTCATGAAACGATTTCTGGATCAAATGTGTGGCTCCCCTGGTCTGCAACCACACTGAGAACAGCATTTCCATTGAGAGCAGCACTTCTCACCTTGGAATTCAGCCCTGAAGGCAACAAATAACTAAAGGGCAAACAGAACTGTGGGAGATGCTACAGTGAGGTGGAGCTGGAAAATATTTGGGAGGATTTAGGGATACCAGAACGAGTTCTCCCTTGGTTCTTACTCTCACAGTGGGGTTTTGTAAGCTCTGAAAAAAAAACCTTTCTAGGAATTTAATTAGCTCACAGTGATGCTTTAATATGATCCTGTTTTACTCTTTTTCTCTCTAGTGCAAAACGCCATCCTTCTTTCCCTTCCTACCCTTTACACACACAGGTCCAAACTTGTTTATTACCAATTCCAGAAGGATTTTAGCTTTTCTGGAGGGATCTGGACCTMTGAACTGTGGCAGGCAGTCCAAGGGAAGGCAGCAGAGTTGGGCTTTGTCTCTGCTGCCTTTGATTTGGTATCTCAGTTGCCAGTGCACTTGTTGAGCAGCTGTGCTGGCAAGGCAACAGCAGCAAATCTTGGTGTCAGCGTTTCACTCTTCTAAACCAAGAAAACCGAAACCTTCTGTCACAGTTATTAGATCCTAAATATAAAGGAGTGGTTTCTAATGAACAGAAAYTGTGGTTTTGCTTAAGTCAGGTGAACCCTCTGCTGGGTGTCGAGGAGTTTCCTCTCTGAAAGCAAGAGCRCTCCTCAAATAGGTTAAAGGAGCTCATTTCCCTGCAGAGGAAGGAAACCTGTGAACCTSTCTGGGTGTCAGCTTAGGCTGACAGTGCTGATTTGAGCACGAGCACAGTGCTTTAAAGAGAAGATCTTGTGGATCAGGGGCAGCCCTTTGTATGGCATATAGCATAGGAGTGCTGAGCACAGCCCGGGCTGTATAGGGGCCATAATAATGGGAATGCTGATGAGGCTGGACTGTGGCTATAGCTGAGCTGTGGGAAATGATGTGAGGGGCAACAGTGCTGTCAGATGTGTTCTTCCATGTAGCTACAGAGCCAACAGCCATCGTGGTGAGGCCATGTCCCAAACCATCTATGTGGCAGAGGTTCAGGAGCATCCCCTTCACTTTGGATCATTAATGTTGGAGAAGACCTCCAGGATGATGGAATCCAACCTGTGACCGATCCCCACCATGTCCAGTCAATCCTTGAACACCTCCAGGGATGGGGACTCCACCACGTCCCATTCCAATATCTGACCATCYTTTCCTGAAGAAATTCCTCTTGGTGTCCAGCTTGAACCTGCCCTGGTGCAGCTTGAGTTTATTTTTGCCAAATTCCTGCAGTTCCTCATCTGTCAGGCACTGGGATGCTCAATGGAGAGGGTTCCTTGTCTCACCCTGTCCCAAAGAGCAGCTGAAGGTGCTGGCAGGGCCTTGCTTGGGGTGTGAGGAGGTAAAAACTCTACCCTGGTGTTTGGTGAAGGGGACAGAGTGGAGCAAGAGGGAATTTGGAAGGAATCAGGTGCCTTTTGAGCACCTGGTGGAAGAGAGTCTGTCAGCAGCAGAGACACAGCTTCCCCTCTTAGGTCTTTAAGAGCTTCTCAAAACCTTCCTTCCCCTTTTTACTCTGTTTTGTCCACACCCCTCCTGCCAAGGGGTGTGATTCCACCACCACCCTGGGACAATCACAGCCTTCCAAGCCTTTCTTCCTCTTGCTGTGAGTTTCTATTCCCCGTGCTTTGAGCCAGATTTGAGTTGTGGCCACGTGTGAAGCAAACRTTAATATTTGAGTGTGTTACAAGACTTTCAGGTGGCTTCTCGTGGGCAGACAGGATTTTTTTTTGCAGTTTGCCCTCGTGTTCAGCTTCTCAGGAGCTTTTTTGGARCGAGACAGCAGCTGTCAGGCACTTGGATCTTCCTAACAAGCTCTCAGCAGTGTTTTCTTCCCCCCTAATCCCTGTCTGTGGTTCTGTGTGACAACTCTGAACACTTTTCCTCTTTTCTCCACAGCTGCTGAAGAGTCTGAAGAGGCTGTCAGAGTTACCCATCACAGTTGACATTCTCGTGGTAAGAGCTGTGAAATCTCTGGGGTTTTTCATCGTGTCTGTCGGGTTTCAGGGAGAGCTGTTTTCCATGGAACAGGGTGTGTTTGTGTGGCCACCTGCTCCAGCCCAGTACCACGGGCAGGGTGGTGATAAGATTCTGGAAGTGCCAGGCACGGGGAAGAAAAGAGGACASTTTGTCATCTTGGGTTCTCCCAAAAGCTTAACACCTGACTGGGGGATGAGAGCTGGAGCWGATCCCAGCAATAACAAATCAGCAGGAAATGAGGAAGTGCTAATCCTGACAGTTTTTAATAGTTTTTGCCTTCAAACTTGCCAGCTCTCATGGTAAATACTGACTAACCTGGGTTATTAATACAGATAATTAGTGTTTGACTAAGGTAGAATTAACTCTTTGATTTACATGTATGGAGAGATATAATATCAGCTGAAAGCATCACGAAAGTGATGCCTTTGCTGTTAGAAGGAACTTCTTCCTTTGCAGCAGTAGGGAGTGTGTGGATTTCATGGTTAGGAAGTTTAGCAGGGCTGAGAATTGAGAATTGTTTGATTAAGGCAGAATTAACTCTTTGATTTACATGTATTGAGTGATATAATATCAGCTGAAAACATCACGAAAGCGATGTCTTTGCTGTCAGATCAAGGAACATCCTCCCATGCTGATTTCATGGGCTCTTTAGGAAGTTTAGCAGGGCTGAGAATTGAGAATTGTTTGATTAAGGCAGAATTAACTCTTTGATTTACATGTATTGAGTGATATAATATCAGCTGAAAACATCACGAAAGCGATGTCTTTGCTGTCAGATCAAGGAACTTCCTCCCATGCAGATTTCATGGGCTCTTTAGGAAGTTTAGCAGGGCTGAGAATTGTGAGAATTCCTGTTTTGCTGAGATGGATTCGTGGCTCTCTCCTGAAGGAGACAGGAGTTGGGAAGACTGTGAACAGCCTAAGGAAACACGAGCTCGTGGGAGATTTTGCCAAGGACCTCGTGGCCAGGTGGAAGAAACTGGTGCCAGTGGCCCAAGAGGCAGAGCGGTGAGTGAACCCCATGGATGATCTTTGGGAATGTTTTTTCAGTGGATTATTTTAAACCTCTCTGGCCAAAGCTCTGGAAAAGCTTGCAAAACCAATATGTTAACTCTGCCTGGGGGTTTTGCCTTGTTTTGGCAGAAACCTGCTGCCTTTGCTGGCTTTGTGGAGTGTTGGGATGCTGACAGCTGCAATTTCACGTGGAAGTTGGGGCCAACTTTCAAGAATTTGCAGTTTGATGAAGAGATTAATAGAAGAAGCTAAAAAAAGTGCCCTTAATAAAGCAAAAGATGCAATCTGCTTGCTTCCCATTTTATGATTCTGAAGACAGGAAGTTCTAAGCCCAAGTAATTTGAAAGAATGCTTTTATGAGCCAGAATCCTATGGAAACTGGAGGTTATTGCTAGCAGGCTTGTAACAAAGCTGTGTTGAACCCAGCAGAGAGATAAAAAGGTTTGAGGGATAAAGGCCCAGTTATTAATGGGAATTTAAATGACGTGTGGAACTGGGGGACATTTCCCCCAGCACCCCACAGCCAGGAGTGTGTAGGCATGGAGAGTGTTCTGTACACTGTTCTAGTCCTAATAAAAGTGCTCAGTCAATTCTAGCACTAGAAATGCAGTTTTTAAGTTCCTCATTGTTGCTGTTCCTGTGAGATTTAGTAGGATTTTTGCCACAAAACTACCAAATACAGCCTTAAGAGATGTAAGAGATGTTCCAGTGCAGGGAATGGCTCTTTCCATTCATATTGGGCAGTTATATTAAAACTGTTTTCGGTTTCTTCTCCTTTCAGAAATAACTTAGACTCTGAAGACCGTGACTACGAGAGGAGCAGCTCAAGCAAAAGGCATCAGGAATCCTCCCTCAGAGAGGATGAGGAGGCTGACCAGGATTACTCAGAACCCTTCCAGCCTTCTTGCAGCCAGTCCTATAGCCCAGATCATAGGGAAAAGAAGTCCAAAAGGTATCCCAGGCCTGAGAGAGCCCACGAGACTTAYGGCTATAGCAGCCAGCAGGGGAAGGGTTGGGGCAGATCCTCCCCGGTGCTCTCTTCAGATCAGGAATACTCAGACTGTGGACAGGCTGTGTCACCTGAGCCCAGCGAGAGCCCTCAGGACATGGACACGGATCCTTACGCCTCTGAGGAGCAGGAAGAACCAGCAGTGTTCCATCGTAAAGCCAGCAAAGGCCACAGCTTCCAGGAGAAGCTCGGGGCGGGCCGAGAGCGGAGCTCCGGCGATTTCTGCGACAAAGGGAACGCGGCGCGGAGCAAAGAGCACAAATCCTCGCACAAAAAGCAGCGACTCGATGGCAGAGGGGATGAGAGAACCTCTGCTTTCAGCCCAGAGAGATTGCACAAAACCTCTTTCAAAGAGCAGCTCCGAGAAGCAGCAGCCAGCAAGGAGAAGCAGAGGATATCAGAGGGTACCAAAAAGGAGAAGAACCGGGAAAGCAGCAGCTCCAGGAAGGAGAAGTCGCACGCGTTGCCGCACTCGGAGGAATCTTTGGACAACCACGTCAAGAAACAAAAGCATCGGGACTCTGAGAAGAGCAAACTGGAAAAGTCCAAGCAGAGCCTGGAGAGCTCAAACTCAGAGAAACGGAAAGCTGAGGGTGACTCAGCCAATAGGATCAAGGAAAAGGGGGGTTCTGGGAGCTTAAAGTCTTCGGAGGGGAAGCGCAAAATCTCCRATGTGGATAAAAAATCAGTGGGTTTTTCCTCGAATTCTGGGGAGGGGGAAGCAGAGGATGAGTTTGAACAGCCTACAATGTCCTTTGAGTCGTATCTCAGCTACGACCAGCCCCAGAAAAAGAAAAAGAAAGTGGTCAAACCCTCAGCTGGGTCAGCTGGGGACAAAGACCGAGGGCACAGCAAACAAAACGGATCCAAAGCCAGTACCAACAGCTCGAGCTCMGCTCAGAAGAGTCCAAGCCACAAGAGAACAAGTGAGAAAAAGGCAGAGAAAAAACCTGCAGAGCCTCCTAAACCAAAGAGGGTAAGGTTTGGAACAATGAACTAAGAAGGTGGGATCGGCTGCTCTCAGTTCTCTGCCTTTTTARTTTTCCCCTTGGAAAAGTGGGTGAAGAGGAAGGGGAAGAAAGAAATGCAATGGGTGGATTTTATGTTTTACTATTTTATGTTTATTCAGAAAGAGGGAGAGTAAAAGAGAAAACCTTCAGATGAATATGGGTGTGAAAAGAGTAATGGACATGATGCAATGGGTGAGAAGGCAGAGAATCTGTAGATTCAGAATCTGTAGAGCTCAGAATCCAGCCCAATTTGCAGTTCATTTCCTGAGATTTCCATGTCTCTCAAGTATTAATGCTTCTCTAAAATGGACCTTTTTTGGTGTCCAGAAGTGGGAGAATTGGTGGTACAGGGCAGCTTTTTCCAGCAGACAAACCTTCTTTTGTGAAAGCTTGGAAAAGGAGCAATATTTCTGTACAGATCCTTTGTCACATGGGTGCCAGGGYTTGGTATACAAATGGTAACAATGTGTAAAACCTTTACTGTTTCATCTTTTTGCTCAACTTTGAAACACTTGGCTCTTCATAAAGTGGTTTTTATAATGTTTGACAGCACTTTAAATCCTGCTTGGCCATTCATTCTATAAAACTTCATATCCAAGTTTTCAGTTTCCCTCACTTTCCCTTCTCTTCCATCACTGCAGAGTTTTTTGCAGGAGGAGGAAAAGAGGCAGAGCTGGTAAATGAGTGTTTGAAATCAAAGAAATTCTTCTGCTTATTCTGAATAGGTTAAAAATGTGGATGGCTTTTTCTGGAGGGTGCTCAGTGATCCAGATCCCAAATTTTGGCTTCTTCATATTGGCAGCCACCCCCTGAGGTTGTTCTCTGGTGCAAACTGATCAGCATTGAGTGGTTTATTCAAAATACACAAAAAAACACAGCTCAGTGCTGTTTGTACACTGGTGGAATGTCCCATCCTGCTGTATTCCTGTCTTACTTCCATGTGCATCCTCTCCTTCCAGATAATTATAGATGTGGTCCCAACATTACCAGACATCCCCCTGCCCCCCATCCAGGCCAATTATCGTCCTCTTCCCTCCATCGAATCCATCACCTGCTCCCAGACCAAAAGGAAAGGTAAGTTGGGCAGAAAAATGGATTTGGGATGAGCCATTTTATGGGAGAGAGYGGGAGKGGATGCTGGCTGGGTTAAAATCTTTCTGTTGGAGTCTGCTAAGAGAATTCAGACAAAAAAAAACAGCTGCTTTCCCACGTGCTCCATCAGAAATGAGAAAAACCTTTCACTGGTGACCTTTCTTTGGGGCTTGAGSTTTGGACTCGCCCTTGCTGAACTTGCCCTGAAGACTTTGCCCTTTAGTTCACTTCTGRGTGACTCCAATTTGTGTTATTGAGCAGGACTGGCTCTTTGTTTTCTCCATCCCCTCCTCACTCCACGTGTTTCCCYCCACAGCAGTGTCCTCACCAGTGGAGGAGAGCGAAGCGGGTTTCACGGGCCGCCGGTTGAATTCCAAAATGCAGGTGTACTCTGGCTCCAAAACTGCCTACCTCCCAAAGATGATGTCCCTGTACCAGCAGTGCATCAGGGTCCTCAGTAACAACATCGACTGTGAGTATCTTTTCTTGTGCCTCAGGCAGGTGCACTGAAATTTTGGCAACTTTGTACAGATCCCASCTGGTCTGGAGTGTGGGAACAGCTCCTTGTTACAAGGGAGAACAAATATGGCACAAATCCCACTGAAAGCTCAGGTGTTTGAAGGGATCAGCACCCAGATTGCTTTCTGGAAATTGTGGCAAATAGAGCTTGCACAGACACTTCTTATCTTGGAGATATTGGTGCCTGAGGTTTCTTTCTCCTCCCCTCATCCTGSGTGTTGTTGTGCAATGCTGCAGTTTTTTCACTGTGTTTCAAGGTGTCAGGCCCTTTTCTTTGGCAAGGAAGGATAAGGATAATTAATACTCCATGCTTCTTGCCTCTCTCTAGCAATCTATGAAGTGGGTGGTGTCCCTTTCTCCGTGCTGGAGCCGGTATTGGAGAGGTGCACCCCGGAGCAGCTGTACCGCATTGAGGAATGTAACCATGTGAGTGCTTTGGCCTGGGAAGGGCTGTGATGTGCAGGGGTGCCCTCATCTGCAAAAAGAATGGGGAAAAAAGCTTTTTCCTAGCAAGAGGTGGCTTTTGCCAGTCATGAATTCCTGGCTTTGTTGCAAGCCAGACTGGAATTCCAGAAMTAAGCTGGTGTTGGAAGAATCGAAGGAAGAGGTGCTGAGGGAAGGAGACTGGAGGAGCCAGGAAAGATCCCAGCTCTGTGTGGCTTTKCTTCAGGTGCTGGTGGAGGACACGGATCAGCTTTGGCACAACCACTGCCTGAGAGATTTCAAGAACGAGAAGCCCGAGGAGTTTGAGTCGTGGCGGGAGATGTACCTGCGGCTGCACGACGCGCGCGAGCAGCGCCTGCTGATGCTGGCGCGCAACATCGGCTCTGCCCACGCCAACAAACCCAAAGGTGGGGCTGAGGGAAGGGCTCTGAGCTTCAAACCTGTCCAGTTTAGGAGCTGTGCTTAGCTCTGGGTGCTTGTCTTCACCTCGTGGTTTAGATGTGTCTTGCTCTCAGCCGTGGTGTTGTTGATGCAGAGCGATATTTTACAGTGAGGATGTGTGGGGCTGCAGAGGCACCTCCTGTTCCACAGTGGCTTCACCAAAACCAGGGAGGGGAAAGCATTCCTGTTTTTGGTGAATGTAATGAGAACTAATGAGCTGATCAGTCTGATTTCTCACTGCGAGAGGTTCAGACCTTAGGGAGGAGATGGTCACCATTGCTTTGGAATCGATGGACTGGGGAAAGGTCGATGAATTTTCAGTTGTGATACCAGCAGTGAGGAGCCTCCTTTATAGTAAACTGGATCTAAGTGATGTTTCCCTTTGGGCTCTTGCAGGGAGAGTGGCCAAGATGGCATTTGTGAACTCTGCAGCGAAGCCCCCGCGGGACGTTCGGAGAAGGCAGGAGAAGTTTGGCACTGGAGGACCTCTTCTGCCAGAGAAGACCAAGTGAGTGTTTCTCTGTTTCACCTACTCAGGGCCTCCTGCCAGCTGCCCCCTGAARCTCAGGAAAGGATACTGTATGTCTGGGAGCTCCTTTTGCAGGAAAACWTGTAACTGTAGTAACCTGTTTCCTGCTGGGAAGCAGGGAAATCCTGGTCCCTGCTGGTTCCAGGTTGTATCATCCCTGCTGCTGTTACAAATATTATTTGTGTCTGTGGAATTGCTTCAAAGCAGGGTGAATCCTTTATGGAAATACCTGTCCTKTGTGTGTTTCAGAATAAAACCAGTCCTGTACACGTCCAGCAAAAGCCACGCTCGGGCGAGCGAGGAGCAGTCCTACGATGGGCCCAGCACCAGCAGTGCCCACTCGGTCCCRTCTTCAGGTAGCACCTTCTCCTCCTACGACCCCAGGAAACCCCCAGTGAAGAGTAAGTACAAGCTGCAGCACATCTCTGGGGTTTCTCAGAGCTCCTCCATCACAAACAGCTGCTTCTTCTGCTGTGGGACAGTTCCAGGCTGTGCAGGAGGGTTGGGTGTTGCTTTCCTCTCTAAGAAAACTGTTCAGACTTACTGCATGAGGAAAAGCAGAGGGAAAATCTGATTCACTGCTCAGAGCTGAATGTATCAACCTGTTCCTGAAAACTTTGATGGGCTCATAACAAACACCTGTGTTTACCTTGCCTTGCCAGAGCTGCAGTTTTGAATTGCTCTGAGCTCTTAGTGTGTCACTTTTTCTTTCATGTGGGGGCTTTTTTGTTTGATTCAGTGGTTTTGTTTTTTTTTTTTCTTTTGCAGAAATTGCACCAATGATGGCAAAGACTATCAAAGCTTTCAAAAACAGATTCTCTCGGAGATAAGTTTGCAGTGCTGATCTGGGCCTTTCTCTCTTGGGAAGGAGTGGCACTGAAGGGGGAGAAGGTACCCAAACAGCCCTTCCTTATCTTTGAACTCTTTGGAGGCTGCAGCTGCTGGGAGAAGCTTTGATCTGCACAAGATGATGGCACAGTATTTTATCTTTTATTCTGGTCCCTTTCTCAGTGTCAAGCCCCCCTCTTTTACCCCCTGTCCTCAACATTTTGTTTCTGGCTTTGTCATCCRTCGAAAGAAGGGTGTACAGAATCTCCCGACACAGGAAAATGTGAAGTCTTGGCACCTGCTGAGAGTGGAAGATCCAGAGACTTATTTACTATTTAACCTCTTAATAAATTATRAAATGGTTTTAATTAATATTTTGCCCCTCTACCCTGCTGTATTATTTATGTGGCTCCCAGTAGTCTCTCCCCTCCCTACCCAGTGCTGGGGTCAGCCTTGGTGACTCGAGCTGGAATCCATTTGGGTGCCACAGGAGTCTTTCCTGGTGATCTGGTACCTGCTGGGCCCAAAGTCTCACCTGGAGACTCTGGGACAGGCAGGACCAGTGGCCCAGCCTCTTGTCAGTCCTTTGGCAAGTGCAGCCAGTCCTGAGGCTTTGCTCCCTGCTCGTGTGTGTCAATAAAATCTGAGCTCTTGACCTTCTCTGTGCTGTTGCTGTAGATCCTGTGCAGGTGCTTTTGTGACCCTACAGGGATGYCAAGAGCCTTTGAGGACATTTCTGCTGCTGTTTTCTGCTGGCTACTGGGAGTAAAACTGCCAGAGATTTGGGAGAAGTTTTACTGTGCATCATGTCAGATTTTAACTTTTTATCTGGAGAGAGATAGGGGACTTTGCAATGGAAAACAGTTTTTAAATATCAGTGAAGGCGTYGTTTGCCTCTTTTAGTGAGAAGAAGGAACACTTCTGTCTTGTTTCTGTGTGGAATTGGAAAGGATTTATTTCCAGTTAGGAWGCTGGTGCCTAAATCCTGTCTTTTCCCTGTGCGTTTTGCTCTGTCCCCTCTTTGAAAAAATCCAAGGATTTTGGTCTTTGAACCTGAAACCACTTGAATGAGGTTGGAGGGAAGYGAGCAACGGAATGTGGCTGTTTTTAACACGTGTGTCCTTCAGAGCAGGAGTTCAAAAAGCTCCTTTGTAGCTGGTGTGTGAGGAGCTGGAGCTCAGGAAGGAGAAGGTGCTTGATGGGGCTGGTGGGAGTGTCAGGAAATGTCCTGGAGCTCCTGGAGRGGGATGTGAGGATGGCAGCTGGGCTGGCCGAGGCTGGAGCTGGCTGTGCTGTGGGGAAGCTTTCTGCTTGTGTTTTGTGTCTGCCCCGAAGGGAATTCCAGGGGTGGTGCAAGCAGAGGATGGGGCTGGGGAGACCCCAAAAGTCGTGGGGTCTGACTGGACCAGAGAGGGGAGGGATTCTCCTGTTCCAAGCCATATTTGCTGCCCTAGGACTTTGCTGTCTGGGTGGAAAAGATGCTGGTARTGGATGCTGTTGTTGTTGGCAGCTCCTGAGAAGCTCTGCTGCTGGCTTTCCGTGGCTGCCAAATCCCAAACCGGTGGAGTTGTCTGTGTGCACTGACCGGGGGAAACCTTGCTGTGAAGGGTCCTCCCTGGAGGGCTCTAGAAAAATCCCTGTTTTGCTTCTGGTTTCTGTTGGGTTGTTTGTTTTTTTCCTTTTTATTTTTTCCTTGCTTTAAAAAAAAATAGTCTTTCTTTAAAACCATTCTGAACACCTGTCTCCTGTTTATTTGGTCTGTTCTTTGTTTAGTTTGAAATTCTTGGAAAAATGTTCTCAAGACTTTCATGTGCTGTAAGTTTGTTACAGTCCCAGATGCTTTAATGTTACCGTGCAGCATTTCAGTGTGTGTTGTGCTGTAAAATAATGGCTCCTTATTCTGCGTTTTTTGCTGTATTTAATTTTGCTGTATTTTTAATTAGATAACAATATATCCTCTTTCTGCTGACCGTTTGTGCTACTGTTTATTTCTCCTCTGTGCTGGGGTAGGGGCAGAGGGGAGGGAAGCAGAGCCTGGCATGGTGTTCAGACATGAGGGAGCTTTGAACAAAGGATCTGGGAGCTGCCCAAGAACAATTCTGGGCGCTGCTCAACTGCCAATTCATTGATTTCACAGCTCCATCCTCAGCTGTGGGTACAGCCCGAGCATTGCTGTTTTAGGGAGATGCTTTTTCCCCTCTCAGAGCAGCTCCTTTGCTCCAGGCTTTGCCAGCTGTGTCCATGATTTATTTGTGGGATCGCAAGGAGGTGATGCCAACCCAAATCCAGCCTGGGGAGAGGTGAGCACCAGCCCTCAGCTGGGAGCAGAGCGGGGATATTTCCCTGAAGGACACACTACACAAAGCCTGGGATCAAAGTGCTCCCTGTGACACTTGTGCAGTTGTTCTGTGCTCCTCCACACAAAGGATGGAGCAGAGCTGCCKCTTTTCCCTTCCCACCCCATCCCGCTAGGATGAGTAAAGGGAGGAGGAAGAGGAGGGGGAGTGACTTGGACTCGTATTTGTATTTTGATCCCAAACTGTGTATATATATACGATTTTCTATGTTCCTTTTTTTTGTGGTAACTAAGATGAATATTTTAATTAGCTAAGTTATATGAAAAAGAGGAGAATCATGTCTCAATAAAAGCCAAACACTGGACAGTGGCTGCTTGTTCTTTCCTGACTGACCACGAGTTCTTTCCTCCCCGGGAGCACCGGGACCCCATCCCGGGAGCACCGGGACCCCCATTCCCGAAAGCACCGGGATCCTCCCCGGGAGCACCGGGACCCAGCACCGGGATCCTCCCCGGGAGCACCGGGACCCAGCACCGGGACCCCACCCGGGGAGCACCGGGACCCCATCCCAGGAGCACCGGGACCCCCATTCCCGAAAGCACCGGGACCCTCCCTGAAAACACCGGAACCCTTCTCCGAAAGCACCGGGACCCTTCCCGAAAACACCGGAACCCTTCTCCGGGAGCACCGGGACCCCATCCCCGGGAGCACCGGGCGGTTCGCGGGCTCAGCACGTGCAGAATCAGGCCCCGCCCATGTGGGTGTGGCCACGCGCCAATGGACGTATCGCCGCTCTCTGTGGGCGTGGCCACGGGCGCACGGGAATCCCTAATAAGCGTGTGGGCGGAGCCTCAGGGCAGGGGGCGTGGTCTGTGCGACACGGGGGCGTGTCCTGCGAGCATATGGGCGTGGTTTACGCTGGCTATGGGCGTGGCCAGCGCGCGGTGGGCGTGTCCCCGCGCGGCGCATGCGCGGTGGCGGTGGCGCTGCCATGGCGCACGGGCACGGGCCCGGCCGGTGCCGCTGCTGCGGGGAGGAGGCGGCGGAGCGCGGAGCGGCCTGGGGGCTCTACCTGCGCATCGACCGGCAGCGCCTGCAGTGCCTCAACGAGCGCCGCGAGGGCTCCGGAGCCACCGTGTTCCGCCCCTGGGAGGAGCGCGGGGACCGCTCACGGGTGAGGCCGGCGGGGTCGGGGGTGCGTGGGGTGGGCGGCGGATCCCGTCCCTGCACCTCCGGCCCTGGGAGGCACAGCCGCAGWGCTGTGTGCGGGTCTGGGGTGCTCAGAGCGGCACCACAGAGATGATTTGGGGTGTGGAGCATCTCYCTGGTGAGGAGAGAGTGCGGGAGCTGGGCCTGGTCAGTCTGGAGAAGGGAAGGCTGAGAGGGGATCCCATAATCCATAAAATATCCCCGAGGGGTGCCAGAGAATTGTACCAGACTGTTCAGTGACAGGATGAGGAGTAATGGCCATAAACTGAACCACAACGAGTTCCACTTCAACGTGAGGATGAACTTCTTTCCGTGGAGGGGTCAAACCCCGGGAGGGAGTGGAGTCTCCCTTTGTGGGGACACCCCAAACCCACCGGGACCCATTCCTGTGTCACTCCGGGTGACCCTGCCTGTCCCAGTGGGGGTTGCACTGGGTGATCTCAGAGCTCCCTTCCAATCCTAAACACCCTGTGATTGTGTGAGCAAGAATCAGGGCCCCCTGAGCCTCACTGGGGTGCTCCCTCCACCTGTCCCCACATTCCCCTGCTGTCCCCTGTGCTCCCCCCACCTCTCCTCTGACCTGCTCCTCTCTCCTCCCAGTTCGTGGAAAGCGATGAYGATGAGGAGCTGCTCTTCAACATCCCGTAAGTTCCAATCCTGAGCTCCTCTGTGCCCTTCTGGCTGCTGGCAGGCCTTGTTCCTCACCTGGCCTTGAGGCAGTGGSGTTGATTTGGACAGGACAGAGGTGAAAACCCCTCTCTGTGTGTCTGGGCAGGTTCACRGGCAGTGTGAAGTTAAAAGGAGTCATCGTGATGGGTGAGGATGACGGGACACACCCGGCAGAGATGAGGCTGTGAGTAAAATCAGCTTTCAACTTTCACAGACGGGCTCTTTTGGGGGGAAACGGTGKCAAAATGGGAAATTGTGGTGCTGCACCTCGGTCATTCCAGGAATCCAGGTGGGAAAATAAAATTTGGACACWGAGGAAGCTGCCAAAGGATGGAGCAGAGGGGTCCAGAGGGGTTTGGAGGGACACTGAAGTGACAGATGAGGCTCCTGGAAGTGATCCTGCTCTGCTGTGCTCTGTTCTGAATCCTGGACAGAGAACAGAAAGAAACAGAAAAAAATAAATTTTGTTTTTCACTGAAAGAATATCGAGTTCTCTGCAATTCTTATGAGGGGAAAATACATCTTTACCAAGGTGTGAGGCAGTGGCAGAGCTCACCTTGCCCTGGGCATCAGCACGCCCTGCTGTGCTCAGTTTTCCTCCTTGGCTTTTCTGGAATGTGATGCTTTGTGGTGGTGTGAGAAGAAAAACAAAATAAATCCAGTTTCTCATCGTTGAGAAGAGCCTGCTAATGGATGGGTAGGAATCCAATTAGCTGAGCTGTTGTTAATGACTCCCTGGGTGTTTTTCTTGTCTTCCCCCAGGTTCAGGAACATTCCTCACATGTCCTTTGATGACACAGCCAGGGAAGCAGAGCAGACCTTCAGCCTGAGCCGGGATCCCTTGGGAGAGCTGGAATATCCCACCAAGTACGGGACAGACCCTGGGGTGTGGGAAATGCTTCTCCCTGCTGCAGGAGCTCTGGYCAGACTAAAGAATCAGCACAGGGCTGTGCCTCAGAGCTGCYCCAGAGCCTGGGGGTGGCTSTGKGGGCACCYCAGGAATTCCTGGGGTGCAGAATCACCCTGGTGTCCTTCCCCCAGCTCACAGCTGACCCACAGGCAGGAGAAAAAACCTCCTTTCTCCCAAATCTGGCTGGGGTTAGGGTGACTGCACTCAGTGTGGGAGCGTGGGGAGGCGGTGGAGCGGCGGCTCTGGTCTCAGGGTGTGTTTTTTTTTTCAGAATTGCCCGTTTTTCCAATGTTTAYCACCTCTCCATGCACTTCCCAAAGAACTTCGGAGAGGAGACAACCAAGATTTTTTACATCGGCCTGAAAGGGGAGTGGACAGAGGTGAGAGGAACCTTAATTCGGGTTCTGTGGGGGAGAAAGGAGCGTGGGGAGTGCGATGAACGCTCTGTGAGAAGGAATTGCTCAGCTCTTGCCGGTCAGGTGTTCAGGAGGGACTGGAATTCTGCTTTCCCTGCATTTAACACATTCCATCTCCACCCAGGCCCATCGCCACGAAGTCACCATCTGCAACTACGAAGCCTCAGCGAACCCGGCCGACCACAAATTGGAACAAATCACCCCCCAGACCCATTTCATCTCCTAACGGGGCTGCCCGGAGCCTGCCTGGGGCAGGAACGGCTTCCAAGGCGCCGGAGCGCCGGATCAGCTCCATGTTTGCGGGCCAGACACAGCGGCGCTGTGTGAGGCGGCCCCGAGAGCGGCGGGGCCCGGCGGGGAGGAGTCGCTGTGGCAGCGCCGGGGCCGGTACCGGTACCGGCTGTGACTGACAATAAACACGCTGCGGTGCAGAGCTGTGCGCTGTCCCTCAGTGCGGGTCGCGGCYCTGGTGTGTCCGCTGAGGCGGCAGGGCGGTGGGGGCCGGGGTTTGTCCCTCTAACCCGGTCGGTGCCGCCGCCGCTTCCGAGCGGGACCCGGTGCCCGTTTCCACCATGGCGGCCCCGTCGCGCCCGGCGCCKCTCTGACGTCAGTTCCGCCGCGCTGGCGGAAGTTCCGGTGGGAGCGCGTCAGGGGGAGCCGCGAGGAGCGCGCGCGCCGGGCCGCGGGAGAGGTGCGGGGGGG